TTTGGTGAAGAAAAAGTACACACTTTTGAGTGTGTAGTAGAAGAGTAGGCAAGCTTTGGGATATACTATCACGTCACACAACTGCGTCTTTAAAGGACGGCTCTGTCACACGCACCCTGTCACTGTAAACTGGCCTGTCAATCATCTTATCACAGTTAACATCCTCCACATTTCATTTCATTTAACTTCCTACCGTACTGGAGAGAAAAGAAGTAGCTCGTTGATCTTCCAGTCGCGGGTCTTTCACGCAGAGAACTCTGCTCATATTTTCTGCATAATCATGCATTTAAAAGTTCACGACCAAATGGATGTTTATAAAAGTTCACATTACTGTTGCAGATGAAATATAACACGGATTAACAATAAATAAATACTTTTTTACCAGGTTAAATGTTGATTATTAGTAACTCAAACCCCTTTTTGTAAACCTCTCTACCTAACCGTCGTTCGCGCGCATCCGCCACGTTTGTAGTTTTTAACGCGTTTTATTCATATTTGTAGGTTTGGACCAAATCCTTCGCCAAAGCGCAATGGATTGTGGGCAATTTTAGCCATTAGAGTGTGCACGGATCCACACTTCAAAAATCGACCTGAAATAGTAGACCATCCGGGGACTTTTGGCATACTCTTTTCAACATACTATGCTTTGGGACACACTTATTTTAATCTCACATACTATTTAGGATGGATAGTATGAACATTGAGACGCAGGGTGAGGCTATATGTGACCCTGGACTACAAAACCAGTCTTAAAGGGATAGTTCACCCAAAAATGAAAATTACCCCATGATTTACTCACCCTCAAGCCATCCTAGGTGTATATGACATTCTTCTTTCAGACGAATAGGTACGTAGGACGTAGGCAAACGCGGTGACGAACGCAGAAGTGACGAACGTGGAAGCACAGAGGAGAGAGCAAAACAAAACACCGGTCACGAATTAGTACAAAACGAGGATTTGTACAGAAAAATGTCGGAGGATTTCGATAAAAGCCAAGAGGACACTGGTTTTCCTTTGCTGTAAACAAAACTTGTTTCTCGCGAGACTAGCATATTCTCACCGGAGCTTATCCTACGCCTACGTCATCCACTGGACGCCACTCCCTTGTGAACGAGCGTACGACAGTTAGCGGAAGCTAGAGATTAAGGTTTATAAATTGTAAATATGGATATTTTTCTTACACAAATGCATCGCGTCGCTTCAGAAGGCCTTTATTAACCCCCCGGAGCCATGTGGACTTCTTTTATAATGGATGGGTGCAATTTTTTGGACTTCAAATTTTGGGCTACCATCCACTCCCATTATAAAGCATGGATTAGCCTGGACATTATTTAATATAACTCTGATTGTATTCGTCTGAAAGAAGAATGTCATATACACCTAGGATGGCTTGAGGGTGAGTAAATCATGGGGTAATTTTCATTTTTGGGTGAACTATCCCTTTAAGTGTCAATGTTTCGAAATTGGGATTCATGCATCTTCTGAAAGTTGAATAAATAAGCTTTCCGTTGATATATGGTTTGTTATGATAGGACAATATTTGATCGAGATACAACTATTTGAAATCTGGAATCTGAGGGTGCAAAAAAATCTAAATATTGAGAAAATCGCCTTTAAAGTTATGCAAATGAAGTCCTTAGCAATGCATATTACTAATCAAGTTTTGATATATTTATGGTAGGAAATTTACAAAATATCTTCATGGAACATGATCTTTACTTAATATCCTAATGATTTTTGGCATCTGAATGAATCGTGAAATCTACAATTTTGACCCATACAATGTATTTTTGGCTATTGCTACAAATATACCGGTGCTACTTATGACTGGTTTTGTGGTCCAGGGTCACATATGTAAACCTTGTGTGTTTTGACAGTATTAGCGCAAAAGATAACTTAGTTCAGAAATCAGGCGCTGTTTGACAGGCTTTATAGTGTGCGCGCTTTGAGTGTATGCGGCGCTCAGAAAAAGCGCACGTCTGACCAGCGCGTGAATGAAATATTTAACCAGCAAATAATGTACTTTTGTGATTGCGAATAAGTGCAGCATCCTGTTAGAGTAACTTTACCGCCGAGTTAACACTGATGTGAATGCATGTGACGTACAGTATATAGATATGGAGGCGCCAGAACTGCAACTGAGAATGTGTGCTGTAGCACGATACTACGATATTTCTTCAAAAGCAGATCGTGGAGACATTTTTATCGTCCACGATCAAAAATAGTCATATCACACACCCCTACTCGCAAAATTTATATTTTTGGTCACAAATGCGACCGTCTGGAGCCATGGGTCTCCTAACTTTCTTGAACCATCCTACAACCTGCCCCCATGACCCTATTCCCACTAGCCTAACACATCAAAAAAAGGCTTGGGTAACCCTTAGGTCTCTCTTCTCCTCTTCAGGTTTCTTCTTTCCGCTCACAGAACAACTTGCTAGACAGTAATCAGTCAGGTTTTAAGAGCTGATATTCACAGACTTGCTATCTGTCACTGAACTCCTGTGGCTGGTGGGAGATCGTCCGTCTTCATTTGGCTGGACTTATCTGCAGGATTCAACACTAATAACCACAAAACCTTGCTGTCTCTAAATCCAGGGAATCACAGGAACTGTACTTTGTTTCAGTCCTACTTCACAGGGAGGGGAGAGGGGGTCATCATGTCAACTAACTATCGGGGTACCTCAGGGTTCAGTGCTCTGCCCCCTCCTCTTTATGAGACAAAATCAGCACAGATATCGGCCTGCCCAACAGACATCTCAGCCTGGATGAAAGAACACCAACTTTAACTTACCTCCTTGTCTTCCTAGCCAGGAACCTGGGAATACTATTTGCCATATTGTTCGTGAAGAATATTTGGTCTTCAAAGCCCACTTCTTAAAGCGGGCTTTGAGGATCAAGCAAATCCGACCCTTAATATTTGAGCATGCTACACCACTCCTGGTCCTGGCAGATCATTTCTAGACTGGACTGTAATGCTTTTAGCTGGCCTTCCTGCGTGTGCAATCAAAACTCTCCAAATGATCCAGAATGCAGCAGCACATCTGGTCTTCAATGAACCCAAGTGAGCGGACATTACGCCCCCTTTTTGTCACACTCCACTGGTTCCATCTACATTTCTATAGTAGTTAAGGCTGGAATACACTACGCAACAATACGATTTTTTCCGATTTAAATGTGATGTTTGCCCCAGTTTGACCCTAGTTGTAAATTTTGGGCAGTACAAGTTGACAGATTTCACAGAAAAAAATCACATTATGTATAATGGGCGCAGACTTTGATTTTTTATTTATTTTTTGGCTATGATTCTATCCAGTTCAGAGGATATCAAACATGTTTGATATTTGAGCTGATATTACAACACATATTGTTTACATTTGTCAAGTGTTTCTTAGCAACAAAGTCCATGTTTCTGTGTGAATTTGTTTGGAAAGTCTGGTAGTGTTTGATTCTCAGATGTTTACTGTATGATCTGCAATTACAAAGTTGGCAAGTGTGTATGATACCTAGAGCTTTTAAGCTGTTCAGATTCTAAAAGTCATGTAGTCTATTCCTGAGCATTTGAAGATCTGGCCAGAGTTTAGTGTCACTGATTTAGTCTGAACTAACATGCGAGAGACAGAAAACAAATATAGACTCACACTTGTTACAGTGAGGTTCTAGTACTCACCTTTGGGTTGTTTGTGTCAAAGAGGCCAGTAGAGAGGCCAATGAGAAGTGCGTCGCCATGCCTTTGGGAGCGCAGTGGAGAGACAGAGCGGGAACGTGAGGCGATGGTGGAAGAGTCTTCCAGTGAGGACTGAGCAGACAGGATGGCCAATGCTACTGTTTGTCTGTGAGCTGGACTACTGCTTAGCTTCACAAACAAAGGCTTATCTACTGAAAAAAAGAAGAGGCCAACAAAAACTTCACGACAGTGGAGTTTATTCAAACTGGCATTCTTTAAGCTTCTGAGGATTAACATTGTTAGAAAGTAAATGAATTTTAAAGGGGATACTGGAGCGCTTTGATATGGTGCATAATGAGACATGCTTGTGTGAGAGGGAGATAAGGTGTCTTAGTATTGCATTTGAGACTACCTGCAGGTTCAGGGTGTTTTTCTTCTCTTCGCGTCATCTCTGTGCACTCTGGTTGTATTAATCTGCCATCTGCTGGCCTAAAATAAAAATAAAAAACCATGATTAAAGGGATAGTTCACTGAAAATATAGAAGTTATGTCATTCTGTCCACTACTGTAAGTTTTTTTTTTTTTTTTGGAAGATATCAATATTTCAGCATTAATTAAATGTATCAAAAAATACAGTAAAGACATTTATAATGTTACAAAAGATATCAAATAAATGCTGTTCTTTTGAACTTTCTATTTATTAAAGAATCCTGAAAAAATGTTATCACTGATTCTGTAAAAATATTACACAGACAACTGTTTTCAACACTGATAATAGTAAGAAATGTTTCTTGAGCACCAAACCAGCATATTAGAATAATTTCTGAAAGATCATGTGAAACTGAAGACTAAAGTAACGGCTCCTAAAAATTTCATTTGAAACATAATATAGGAATAAATTTCACATTATTACTATTTCACTCTATTTATTAAATAAGAAAAACACTTTGTGACCATAAAAGACATATAAAAAAAAAAAAAAAATTAAAAATCCTACCAACCCCAAACTTTTGAACGGTAGTGAACGTTCTAAACCTGTGTGCTGTTACTCTTTCTTTAGAACACAAAATTATGTAAGCCAACTGTTACATAATTCTTCATTCAACAACTGTTCTGTGACAGTGACTAGGGCTGAGCGATTAATAAAAATAGAATCACAATCGCGATTTGAGACGTTGCGATTTGCTAATCACAAAGCCTGCGATGTGGATGCAATATGACTCTGTTCCAGAGCAAATGCATGACTGCCAGCCTTGAGTGCCAGTCTTACTAACCAATTGAGTGAGCGCACCTCCCTTCTCCCCAATCAGCACCGCTCTAACCAACTGTGTAAACGCCCACCATTAAAAAAAACAGAAAGCGGGAGAGAGAGTGGGATTATGGTGTCTACACGGTCAGATCGACCGTTAGGCAAATTAATATTAAAGAAAAACTTATGTAATATGAGATTACTCCAGCTTCGAAATGACAGACACCGAACAAAAAAGGTAATTTGCAAGCGCTGTGTAACAACACATATCAAGAGCTCCCTTATCGGTTCTGCTTTCAGTATTGGAGAATAAAAGATACATTCTTAGTTTTTATTAGTACATGATTTTTTTAATATTTCTACTTGTGTCAGGCTGTTTAGGTGAACTTTCTATTTAAATGATAATATGGAAATATTTAAAATGCAGTACTTTAAATGGTACTTAAATTTTTTTTTTTAATTTAACATTATAGAGATATACAGTGGGTACGGAAAGTATTCAGACCCCCTTAAATTTTTCCCTCTTTGTTATATTGCAGCCATTTGCTAAAATCATTTAAGTTAATTTTTTTTCCTCATTAATGTACACACAGCACCCCATATTGACAGAAAAACACAGAATTGTTGACATTTTTGCAGATTTATTAAAAAAGAAAAACTGAAATATTTTAAGGGGGTCTGAATACTTTCCGTACCCACTGTACATATATAGATCAGCTATATACTAACTTTGCAGTAACACTGCAAATTAAACCTTTCACAGGTTTGAAAGAAGTTTGAAAAAATCTGTATTAATATTAACAGTGATACAGATATTATTGCCAAAATGATGCACCAAATTCTGTGAGAAAAAAAAATGCTTACGGAGACACTGGAGTGTCATTTGTCCATGCTTGCATTACATCTGCTGGGGGCGGCTTTGAGGTTTGCTGAGAGGCTTCATCTAGAACTACTGACTCCATATCATCCACCACTGGAAGGACAGAAAATGTTTGTTACAAACAGTAACAAGTGCAAAAGGTCTCACTACCGATGATCTGAATTTCTACACATTTCAATCTTAAAATAATAAGGTATCTCGCTAAGAGTACTGCATTCATTTTCAGTGTAACACTATTCTCACCCTCTGTCTCACTCTCTCCAGATGGAGTCTTTTGAATCTCTTCTGTTGTTTGAAGGATTAGTTCCTGACTTTTAACCTCTGCTGTGATTGGCACTGTCTCCTGACATGTCACTTCTTGTTTGGCAAGGCCAATGGCAGGCTGGCATGGCTGAGGAAGAGGCACTTGTTTGGTTTCATGAGTGACATCTAAAGACTCTTCAATAAGATTAAGGCTTTCTGGGGAAAAGAAACACAAATAGAAACTCAGGATTAACAGGATACTATTTTCAGTAAGACTGAACACATCACACAGATGAAAAACACTCTGATCAAAGACTCACCAGTCAGTGTGTGGTCACAGGTGCTGGCGGGATCTAGTTTCTGGGTAAAGGGCTGGAGCTCTGCCTCTTCCAACACCTTCAGAACCTCTGAGTCTGGACTCCACCCCCAAGCCTTCCTTAGCCCCTCCCCCTGCCAATCATCCATGCAAATGACTTCACCTGCTGTTTTTTCTGAAATAAGTAAAAAAAAAAAATTATGTTATTGCATATAAATAAGCCACCCATTTTATTATATACAATGGAAACAACATGATTTTGCTCTCCGGGCACAGAATACTAGAGATCTAGCAAATAACCTAATGCCTTGTTTGTTATTAATTACAAACAAGTTTGTATTAATTATTAGTCCCAGTGCATGTAACACGACACACCATCCATGGTTACAAAACAAAACACTCTCTAATACATAATCTGTTCACTCTGGAAGTAATAAGGAGGATGTGTATAATTAATTGACTACTTTTATTCTGCATCTAGCCTAGCAAAAACAAAGGTCAAATTATTCAAATGTGCACCTCAGCCTGTTGTAGCCATCAATTTCTCACTATAGCTCACCTAAATGTTGCCTTCATAACTGAACGCACTATGAATATGTGATGCTGATGTAATGAGAGCTGATGGTGTGTGCTTTTCACTGCTGCAATATTTTGATTCTTGTTGGCACAATCACTTCTCATTAGAGTCTTGCAAATGTGCTACAAGAAACTTGGTCACTTGTCAGGTTGGTATCTGTGAGTCTATACAACCTGTGCCGCAGAGCACATTTTCTTAGTAGGCTAAGATGACAACCTCCCCCATTTGTTTTTCCACAACTGTTCTGTGTTTTATCAAACATAAACTATCAATTTGATTTAAAAAATGTGTCGAATCAGTTGCAAAAACTACAGAATCTCAGGATGAGGATGTTTACCTGTTAGCTGACCTGCTGTTGTAAAGCTAGTTTCTTCCAGAGTCTGCTGAGCCACAGACAGAAGAGGGGCACCATCAGTCTGCCACTTCTTCCTGTCTCCACCAGAGGGAGCATTCGTCTCTGGAGAAGCCACCTGAGACACTGAGATAGGACAAGAGGGGAAACAAAGAGAATGTGTATAGTGCTGCTCATATGATGCAAATATCTAAAAGATATGGTATCTTCTATTACTGATCTACAACAATTTAAATGTCATAAATACAGTTTTATCAAATTTAATTTAATTTTTATCATAAAATGTCTTAAATGATATAATAAAGCCTTAATTAACAATGCAAGAGGTCTTAAATGTGAGGATGGAAAAACAGGAATTGTGATATGGCCTAATGTGATTATTAAAATTCCAAATGCTAAGGTTTAAATAATTAAATGTGATCGGCTGCACATTTCAAAGTAAAAAATACTACTCAACCTATAATTCATATGTGTTGATATATATGTACATAAAACAATTTCAAAACGTGTATAATGAATAAAACACATCTTGACCATTTTACACTTGCAGTACATCCTATTTTATTGATAAGCAAATTAGCAGCCTGTTTAATCAAGTAAAATGTGAATTTGTGCCACAGCCTGTTCAATTATGTAAAGGAATCAGAGACACATGATTTGCTTTCAGACTGTATGGAATTTTTCTGTATAAGGTGCATTTGTGCAGGTCTTAAAAAAATCTCAGGTTTGACTTTAGATATCCTATAAATAAATGTATGTAGTCACACGTGTTTTTACAGCAATAATAATAACAACATTGATGAGATTGTTGTGTTTATACCTGCCAGAGTTGCACAGGTCTCCTCCAGAGTTTGTTCGGCTACAGACAATATGGGTGGAGCTACAGCTTCCCATTTCCTCCTATCACCAGCTGCAGGAGGTCTTTCTTCTGTGATGGAAGGCTTGACCTGTTGAGGAGTTGGGCATGGTGCAATGCTGCAAGGTGTGGCATCTTCCTCAGTGGTCTGGACCTTCTGATTAAGTCGGTGAAGAATCTCCTTCTTGTCACTCTAAAAAAAAGATACATGTCATTATAGTCAAAGTGTTAATTCATTCAATAAACCGCTCTCTCATATTAATGGTATTTCACATATCCAAATATGCATTTTCCACCTGTACACCTGATGTTTCTGCTTTAACGGAGTCCTCTTTCATAGGAGAACTCTGTCCTGATGAAATCTACCAAAAAAAAATGCATAAGCATTGGATGACCATTTAAGCAAATACAGCAAAGGTGATTTAATCAGTGTGATGGGTGACTAACCGCGCCCACATCCTTCAGAGCAGCAGTCATGGAGATGGCTGGAGTGGTGGGTCTAGAGGAGGGAGTGGCTTTGGAAGCACCTTCCTGAGGGGTGGAGTCAGATGGCTGAGTGGCAGGGGCTGCAGGAGGTGGAGCTCCGCCCACAGCTCCAACAGCAACCTTCACCCCTCGTGCAACAAGCTGCTTTGTCACAAAAGATAAGGCAAAACAAAAGGCACAATAAAATACATAAGAAATGGAGAAACGAGGAAAGAGGAGAAGTTTGGGAAAGAAAGATGACATACATGATCCTCCCATGCTTTCTTCTCTCTCTCATATGCTTCTCTTCTCTTCTTTTCCAGCTGTTCTTTAATTACAGCAGCACGAGCCTTTGACTGGGCCTTACATAAAAACACACATTCTTGGTAACTGTTTTACTCAAATAACAGTCTGGTTGCTTTTGCATTCTGATACCAAGACATATACTTATATACATTTAAGACCTCTTAAGAATCATATAAGAATCCTGAAAAAAAATGCATCATGGTTTCCACAAAAATATTAAGCAACACAACTGATTTCAACATTGATTATAGTAAGAAATGTTTCTTGAGCACCAAATCAGCATATCAGAATGTTTTCTGAAGTATCATGTGACACTGAAGAAGACTAAAGACATGGCTGCTGAAAATTCAGCTTTGCCTAAAAGATATTAAAACAGAAAACAGTCATTTAAAATTGCAGTAATATTTCACAATATTAAGGTTTTTACTGTATTTTAAACTAATGCAGCCTTGGTGAGCATAAGAGACTTCTTTTAAAAACATTTAAAAAAATACCTACCAACCCCAAACATTTGAATGGTAGTGTATATAATTCCATTTTACAATTCAAATTATTATGCTGATAATTTATTTTGAAAAAAAAAAAAAAACATTTTAAATGCAAAACCTTTAAAGCCTCGATCTTCTTCCTCCTGAATACTGCCTCTTCACATGACTCCTGAATGTCTGAGCCGTCACTGTCATACTGAGATAGACGGTCCAAATATAACAAATTAATAATTAAATACATTTAAAAATCTATTTAATGATGTGTAAAAGCACTGAAATGGGGCCGAATAAATAATAGTAAGCATTAAAATATGTGTGATACAACAATAAATCTACAGTTGAAAGAAATGTCAAATGGGCCTATACGTGGGTGCATATACCTTCTCTCCTCTGAGGCGAGCTTTGATCTGCTGGCGTTCATTAAAGTTCTGTAGTCGGATCTGTCGTAATCTTGCCAAGTACTCCTGAGAAAAACACAGTTCACATATCATCTCTCTCTGTTCTCTTCCCATTAGCTAGGTTTCCATCCAAAGTTGCGAATTTAACTTATGCGCAAAACTGGAAAATCGCATAAAACATTTGTGAATAAAGCACCGTTTCCATCCAACGAGTCAAAGAGAACAAAAGATGCCTGCTGTTTGGGAATGCAGTCATGTAAGAGTAATTATACAGAAATACTTTGATGACAGACTTTCCTCGGGCATTTCAGAACGACCAAAACAAAATAAAGATGCTGTGAACAAGATCGGTCCGCTGGTTAGTCAATTTATCCCGTCTCATAGCGCAAAGTCACATGACCTTTTCAATGCGCATGGAGGAATTTATTCGGCAAATGTGTGTCCATCGTAGTTTATGTGCATTTTTTCTTATCGGATCAAAGTTTATCCTACTCAGTTGTGCGCATAAGTTTTTTATGCGCATTTTTAGAATTTATGCGCATCTTGGTGTTTCAATCCAGCAGTTTTTAATGCGATAATCCAAAATGCGCATAAAAATAGGTGGATGGAAACACAGCTATTGTCTCCTTCCGACAAACATAAGAACAGGGGCAAAACACTTATTGTATATTGAACATGAAATATAACTGGTGAAATACATTGGAAAAGAAAACCAGCATTAAACATTTACACTGTATTGTGGGAACCGCAAACTTAAAGTTACAGCAGAATCAAAGCCATTCATCAATGAGGACCATAAAAAGCAGCGGTTAGTCTTCAGCTGGGATCTTGCAGATACACTCAATAATCTTCAAAAATAGAAAAAACGATGAGGGACCCAAAACAAAGGGTGTTGAAGCAGAATAAAATCCACACACACAAAAAAGATAATAAAAGCATTGGGGAATTTTGCCAGAATGTGGTATTGGATGAAATGAAATAATGAACTAGAACATTTTCAGTGCATTTCACAGCCACATTCAACAAACATACACTGTGCAGGTACTGGACATCAGATGGCGCTGGTGAGCAGATGCAGCAACATCAGGTGGGCATTTACAACTTAAAATAAGGAACCAAACAATGAAGAGTTTAAGTGACTTGATGGCTTGAGGAGTGTTGTTTGGTCCCAGACAGGACTCCTACCTCCTCCTCTTTGTTGACTTGGGGTCTCCTGCATCGGGAGGAGTTTGTCCAGCTTGCAAAGATGGCGGCCAGGTTTTGCCGAGCCCCCTGTTCACCCATTGGTTAATCCGATATTACAAAAGCCACATAATTAAATGTATTATCAATTCCATCACTGACTTCAACACCTTATTTCTATACATCAGTTGTTAACTGAATGAAGACAGATCTGAATGTGAGCTTTTGGTTGATTGTAAGAAAGGGGCAGGGTTTAAGCGGAGTAAATAATTGGAGATGTCCAGCATACGTCACCAGAGAGAAGTCTATCATTTTACCAGAAAATCAAGTTATGACATTTTAATTAACATTTGCATGGATTAATAGTTCACAATAAGATGAATGTACAAACTAGATTAGGAGTTTTTTCATATAATGTTGACCTTAAAACCTAGGAGTGAAAATAATTTTCCGTGGAAATTTACTTTATGTTCAGAAACATTGTAGAGAAAAAGTGTACTGAAACCAGAACATGCATTTAACCAGAAGAGGCCAAGGAAAAAACTCGTACCAGCTGTCCTTCCGCACGGACTTTATTCAGCATGGCTTCTCTTTTCCGCTGTAGAAACTCTTCCACCTGCTTAGCCCTCTCTGCCGCCAGCTGACCTCGAAACCTAGAGACAGAGAGATAAAAAAGATGATCTTAGCTCTGCTTGACAGACCGGCAGACTGAAGACAGACTGAATATCTGACAAACATTACTGATGAAAACACATAGCCACCTGACCTATTGGCATAGTCGTTCTTTGAAATCTGCTCGTTTTGGAGACTTGCTTTACGTGGTTCTTTCCTGACAACATCCTTAACAGGGATGCAGGCATGACCATTCAGCGACCCTGAGTCTGTAGCAGTGCTTTAATGATAATAACATATGCACATTAAATCAAAAATTATTAAAAAAAAGCAGGAATATAAAAACACTTGGCACAGTTTCTTTCTCATTCATCTCATTCACCTGCCATTGTCCCCTGAAGACATGGCTCCTTCCCCAGCACCATCTTTAGGTGTAGGTTTGGATGGTTTTTCAGCTGCTGTGTGGACATGGTCATATGGAGCTCTGCTTGGAGCTAAAGCAGGAACAGGAGCATGAGCAGGAGTAGGGGTGGGGCCAGGCACAGGGGATGGGCCTATTCCAGGGGAATGTGGTGCTCCAACGCCGCCACCACCACCTCCATAAAACTATGCAAAAATATGCACTAAATGAGAAACCTTGACAATATTAGCAGCCTTTATTGACTAATCTGTAGCAGACAAGGAAGACTATTGTACCTTTCGCTCAGGACTGCTGCCTCCACTGGAACTGAGCACATGTCTCCAGCCCTGCTCCCGAGCCCGGTTTATCCGGTTCAGCTAAAATAAAAAGGTCCAAGTTAAAGTTTTAATATAAACAAATGAAACCAACATCAATTTATTGTAAATAACCATTTGCAGAAGGGCACTGATCAGTTCACCTTTTCCCTCTCAAATCTCTTCATCTGAGCAGCCTTCAGTAACAACATCTACAGAGAGAAACACAATTACCAAGGATCACTAACTCTAACAAGAGGCTTTAAAAATGTCTTTCTACCCAAGAGACACATTACAAATAGCATCCATTCAACTAATGAAACTAGAACAGCCAACATCTGCTGAACTTGATGTGAACTCATTCAATCACCAACACTACAGGCACAAAACAAAATAAATATACCTTGACATAACTTACAATTTAGTATGTATGTAAGTATATATATTCTAATAGAAGTCTCTTATGCTATTCTAATATGCTGATTTGTTGCTCAAGAAATATTTCTTACTATTATTAATATTGAAAACAGTTGTGCCGCATGTCTCAGGATAGGATTCTTTAATGATTAGAAAGTACACAAGAACATAATGATTTGAAATTATAATATGTATCACTGTAAAAGAAGATTCAGGATAGTAAAAAAACAACAACAAAAACAAAAAAACATGTTTCATGATGTCATGGCTAGGGTTGGGTATCCTTTGGGGTTTTTTCGGTACCGATGCCAAATCGATACTTTTAAAACGGTTCCGGTGCCTAAACCGATACTTATTAAAAAAATTAAATAAATAACTAATCCCAAAAAACTGATGGATTGGCCATTAGAATAGAAATAGAATAGAGAGTGCACATGTTAGAGGGTCAAGTTTTTTTATTAAAAAAATCAAGCAGATAAAATTAGAAGTAGCATTAGAATAGAGAATGCTGGAGTTAGAGGGTCAAATGAAGATGAAAGAGATGTGTTTTCAGCCGTTTCTTGAAAATATTAAGGACTCAGCAATGT